GTTCAGGCCCCGAGTCGGGCTCTGTGCTGACTGCCAGCTCAGAGCCTGGAGCCTGTTTCAGTCTGTGACTCCCTCTCTCTCTGACCCTCCCCTGTTCACGCTGTCTGTCTCTCTCTCTCCTAGAAATAAATAAAACATTAAAAAATAAATAAATAAATAAATAAATAAATAAATTTTAGGGGCACCTGAGTGACTCAGTCGGTTAGGTGTCTGACTTTGGCTCAGGTCATGGTCTCACAGTTGGTGGGTTCGAGCCCTGTGTCAGACTCTGTGCTGACAGCTAGCTCAGAGCCTGGGGCCTGCTTCAAATTCTGTGTCTCCCTCTCTCTCTGCCCCTCCCCCACTTATGCTCTCTCATCTCTCTCAAAAATAAGCATTAAAAAAACTTTTTAATAAAGAAATAAATTTTAGAAAGGATACAGAAAAGAATTCCAAGACAGTTCAGGGAGAGGGGAGAAGGAAAGACTAGTCTTTTCAACAAATGGTGCTGGAACAAGTGGTATCCATGTGGCAATATAATGAAGTTGGATCCCTACCTCACACCACACACAAAAAAATCAACTCAGAAGGATCATACACCTCAGTGTAAGAGCTAAAACTATAAAGCTCTCAGAAGAAAACATAAGCATTAACCTCTGTGGCTTGGAGTCACGTAAAGCTTTTTCTAGATAGGACACCAAAAGTACATGCAACCAAAAATGTAAATTTTACATTTACAAATGTAGAAAGATAAATTAGAGACGCCTGGGTGGCTCAGTCAGTTGAGCACCCAACTCTTGATTTTGGCTCAGGTCATAATCCCAGGGTCATGGGATTGAGCCCCATTGAGCTCTGAGTGTGGATTCTTCTTAAGAGTCTTTCTCCTTCTGCCCATCTGCCCAGTTTATACACTCTCTCTCTCTCTCAAAAAAAAAAAAAAAGAGATAAATTAGATTTCATCAAAATTAAAAGCTTATACTGCAAGCAGTGCCATCAAGAAAGTGAAAAGACAGGGGCACCTGGGTGGCTTAGTCGGTTAAGCGTCCGACTTTCGCTTAGGTCATGATCTCGCGGTTCGTGGGTTCGAGCCCCGCGTCGGGCTCTGTGCTGACTGCCAGCTCAGAGCCTGGAGCCTGTTTCAGTCTGTGACTCCCTCTCTCTCTGACCCTCCCCTGCTCACGCTGTCTCTCTCTCTCTGCTAGAAATAAATAAAATATTTAAAAAAAAAAAAAAAGAAAGAAAGAAAGTGAAAAGACAATCCGCAGAATGAGAGAAAGTGTCTGCAAATCATATATCTGATATTCTAGTACCTAGAATAAAGGACTCTTACCACTGAATAATAAAAAAGCGAATGAACCCATGGGGCACCGAGATGGCTCAGTTGGTCTGACTTTGGCTCATGATCTTGTGGTTTGTGAGTTCAGGCCCCACACCAGGCTCTGTGCTGACAGTTAGCTCAGAGCCTGGAACCTGTTTCAGTTTCCGTGCCTCCCTCTCTCTCTGCCTCTCCCCCGCTCATGCTCGCTCACTTGCTCACTTGCTCACTCTCAAAAATAAACAAACATTAAAAAAGTTAAAAAATAAACTAAAAACAAACTATATCCCAAGAGCATCTCAAACACTTATGATAGACTCCTTGAGCTTCAGGCCATCGGACTCTCCAGACCCTTTTTTGGAAGTCATTTTGAGAAAGTTACCCTATCTAAACGTATGTATACAGTTGAAATGGTGAAATGAATATCCTTCTCACATTCCTTCCTGCAGGCAAATAGCAATGTTAGGAAACATATGCATATTTATTCTTTAAGCTCTTAAATTTTTATGACATTCATTGGAAATGAGTTCTTTCTAGTAGCCCAGTGTAGCCAGATTTTGTTCATAAAGCTGCTTTGATACATTGTCAATGTTCTGCTGCTCTTGGATTTTTCTTTGTTCCCAATGAGTCTGTGGAGAGAGAAGCCTGTAGAAGGAAGTGTTGAAAAGAAAAAACAACCTGCTTGTCGGTTATTTCAGAAATTTGTTTCCACATCATATGCCTTTGGCTTGGAACATAAATTGTGAAATAGGCTTTGTTTCTTGCTCTCTTGTGCTAAACCTGTTTGCTGTGAATAACTAGGGTTGTCAAGAAAGGTTAATAAAGGTTAGACTCCCCCACTTAAGACGTGAAAGTAACTAATCCTCTTACATTGCCCACAGATCTAAGCAAGACATGCGCTGCCCTATGTGGGCACAACTTGGCAATGCCTAAATGCCCAGGGGAGGAGGACATTGTCCTCGGATGGGTGTTTACTCAGAAGTCTGTGTAGATAATCTGATGAGACTCCAAGACCATAACCTCAGAGAAGCTGGACCGTATCCCCTTGGGGGTGGGCGCAGATGTTCAGGCAGAGAGAACAGTGATTCCCAAACCATGTCACGTGTGGCATGGCTGAGTGCTGGGTGATCACAGACTTCTGCTCCTGCACCCAGGACCGGTGGCAGAAATGTGTGGTTTAGGGGCACCTGGCTGGCTCAGCCGGGGGAGCACGTGACTCTTGATCTCTGGGTTGTTAGTTCAGGCTCCATGTTGGATACAGAGATTACTTAAAATCTTTAAAAAAAAAAAATCTTGGTTAATATCAAAAGATATTACAGCACTGGAAAGCAAAGAGATACTGTATAACCATTGAAATGTTGGAATGACCAACATGTATTATTTTTTAAACAAGAGTTTAATTGTTTTTTAAGTTCATTTTTTTTTATTTTGAGAGAGAGAGTGTGTGCGCAGGAGAGAGGCAGAGAGAGAGCCCGATGTGGGGCTCAGTCCCACAAACCATAGGATCGTGACCTGAGCTGAAACCGAGAGTCAGACACTCAACCGACTGAGCCACTCCAGTGCCCCCAGAGTTTAGTTTTTTTTTTTTAATGTTTTATTTATTTTTGAGAGAGAGATAGCATGAGCAGGGGAGGGTCAGAGAGAGAGGGAGACACAGAATCTGAAACAGGCTCCAGGCTCTGAGCTAGCTGTCAGCACAGAGCCCGACGCAGGGCTCGAACCCACAAACTATGAGATCATGATCTGAGCCGAAGTCGGACACTTAACCGACTGAGCCACCCAGGCGCCCCGAGTTTAGTTTTTTTTTTTAATGAGACCCAACATTCATGAGGGACAGTCATGAAAACACGCAGATTTAAAGGACTCCTAGAACACAAAATATCCCCTGATAGTCTCCCCTTATACGCGTTAACATTAGATTAAAAACCACAAGCAAACTCCCTGACCCCCAAAGAGAGAGACGCATCTGCTCTGACGAGATTAGTGGACAAGTGGGTGCAAGCTCGGTGTACAAGCTCGGTGACTGGTTCCCCTGCCTCGGACCCTTAGAACTCTAGGCTTTGGGAAAGTCTGGACAGGTACATGCCACGGACCTTTGGGGTACTCACAAGTCATCAGATTTCCAAGTGTGAAGTCCATAAGCACCAGGCTACCTGGGACAGCCCCCCTGGCCGAGGCACACAGCAGTGATGTGGGCAGTTACAGCTGCCTGCCACAGACAGCACTGACGTGAATGCACGTGCACGTGCACGCACACACACACACACACACACACAGAAGGTGTGGAGAGGTTGAGGGCATCTGATGTGCATTATGGCCTCAGGCAGCCCGTAAGGTCAGAGCAGGTGCATTTGTATATACCACAGAGGGAAGAGAAAGGGTGAGCAATTTGCCGATTTCTGCATTTCTAGTTTGGTTTGGTTTTTTTTTGGTCTTTGCTTTCCAAGGCTAATTGTTTCTGTAAGGCTGTAGTCTAATTGGAGACCTCAGCATAAGGAAATGTCTGTCTTACCAGGTGCCAGTCGCACCATCTTGCTCCCTCAGGACAGAGCAGGTGGAGATCAGGGAGAAGGAGGCTCTGAGTCAGGCTGTGCCGATAAATGAGGGACCTCAGGACATCGAATGGCTCCAAGTCAGTTTCCTCATCCCTAACATAGAAGTAAAGGTTCCATGTTTCAGGGGGCATTGTAAGGCGAAAATGAGGGAGCCTGAGAAACAGGCTTACCACAGGGTCTGGTGCAGGGTCAGTGGGCAGCAACAGTGACAGCGGTGATGGTCAGCAGGCATTACCTGCACTGCCAGGTACCCCGCCACATCCTAAGCGAATGGCACTACTGCTCCTCTTCCGCCTTACCCTACCTGGCCCCCTCCGGAGTCCATCATCTGATGATTAGCTTTGGAAACCAGAAATGAACTCAGATTTGTTCTTCTCCCGCCTTACACGCTGGCCATGCTAGATGTTTAAGACTGATTGTACCAAGTGGGGGTGAGGCCCAGGGTATCTCACTGGGCTGACTTGGGGAGAACAGCTGTAAGAACTACACAGAACTCTCGAGAGTGGGCTCTCTCTAATCCAGGGCTGTGGTTCTCCACCTCACCCATTCAGTACATCAGTGAGAGAGCTTCTGAAAATTCTGATACCCACTTAAATGAGTATCTCTGGGTATAGGGCCCAGGCAGCAGTATTTTTAAGCACCCTCCCCACCCCTTACCCAAGAGGGCAATGAGTTCACAAGATCTGACTGACTATAGGAGTCCCGGGCACTGGAGGCCTTTAGGCTGCTTTGTGAGGACCAGCCTGGTTCCTTTGTCCAGGAAGCCTCAGCTGGAAGAAAGATAGGCAGATATTTAATCAGAGAGGTCATTAATCAGAAGTGGGTATCAAGGTAATTTGGGAGGTAGGGCAATCTGGTTGACCTGATTGTATGAAATATTCGCTGGTTCACAGGGAGACTGGTAGGGAAAACACACACACACACACACACACACACACACAAAGAGGAGTTTTATCTGTGATGGTGGCTTTTGTTTTTCCCTTTTTCTATTCACTGACATAATGTGAGACTTGTAATTTATAGGGAAGAAATACAACTCCCATAGTCGCCCATCTCTATAGGAAGGGACCTTCAGTGACTTTGTAAAAATAAGCACCTGTCTTGTTCTCCAGTTGCTTTCCAGCTAATTTTGGTTCCTTTTCTTTTGCCAGTTGCCAGAGGCCGCACCCTCGGAGGAGGAAGAACAGGAAGCCTGGGTGAACGCTTTGCTTGGAAGAATGTTTTGGGATTTCTTAGGAGAGAAATACTGGTCTGATCTGGTGTCTAAGAAAATCCAAATGAAACTCAGCAAAATAAAGGTATCATTTTCCACACAAGAGGCTTCCAATTTTCATATTTCTTAATTTGGAAGTTTTGTATCCTTATACCTTAAGTGAAAATTTGGCTTAAAGCAGAGAACATATGAGAACAACATGGCCGTGACCTTGGCCCTATGACTAACCACACCTGGAGACTTAATGAATGTTCCTATTTACTTTTTCCTTTGTGTTGCCCACACTGTTATCTATTTTAGGTGATAGTCCAGAATTTGATGTTGGAAAATAATGAGCTTTTGTAGCTGGTTTGTCATGTAGACCACTGTTATCCTTAGATTAGTAAAGAACTTAATTGTATTTCCAGAGCCTACCTAGCCTCACGGTCTGAGGGCCACACCATCTTTGCTGAAGAAAGTGCCAGACTGTAGACTCGTTTCCCAAGTCGCGCTGCCTCTCAAGGCTGGGAAAGTTAGCGTGGGACTCTAAATGTGTCTGGGTTTGACCTTTACTTCTGGCCAGATGGTATTTTATTTTGGGCTCTCTCTTTGCTGAAAAAAAGGCCTGGTGCTGATCAAGGGCCCACTTGGAAACAATTTTAAACTGCATAAATATTCCTCATGATTGCCACTAAATGACTAACTTGGTACCACCTCTGCCAACCCAGAGACCTTGTTTAGGTTACTTAGAAGTAAGTTTTTGACCCAGTGAAGACCCAGCCAAGGAAGAGTCACTTTGGTCCCCCAATCTTCACTGAGAAGTTGCATAGTCAGCAGCTTAAATCAGTGGATCGTCCTGGGTCATAGATTCCTTTGAGACGCAGAAATGAATGGATCCTTTCCCTAGAAAAATGCAGAGTCATGCAGAATTTTGCCCATGACTTCAGAGAGTTCAAGGACCCCAGGTTAAGAAACTGTGAGCTAAGGTAAAATTGCCTTACAAGGAAAATGTGGGCACGGAAAAGCTTCGATGTGACTTTTGTCACCCCTTTGGGTGACAGACCAAGTGTCTTACAGCTCAGTCAAGCCCTGATAAGCTGTGTCTGCCAGCCGCAGGCCAGTGTTATCTCTGCCCTGACCCCTGATGAAGAGGAGAGGCTGCCTTCTGAGCTGGAAGTGTGGATTTCGAGGCAGAATTTGGGGCAAGGATTTGTGAGGGCTCAGTTAACATAGGTCAGCCTGTTGTTTTTCAGGTAGATTGAGGGTTGAAACCATTCTGCCAGCTAGGTCCAAGGGGAGGGCAGGAAGCAGCAGTAACCTTCCCGTGTTTGTAAACAAGCAGCCAAGCTGGAGCTCCCCCAACCTCTTCCCCCTCTCTGGAAAATGATGGAGAGCTTGAGTTCCTGGTTCAAGACACACAAGTGAAGTCAGCACTGCTCTTTTCCCAGAGACCCTTCCCCGAGCATGAGGGCTGGGGGTCCTGGCATGGGAGGCAGAGAGCAGGGCATGCCTCACCTCCAGACGGGACACTGTTCTCCCTGTCACACACATTGGCTTCTCTTTGGTGCTGGAAGTCCATGGAACTTCTGCCTTCCTGGTGGAGATCGCTGGGTTCTCTCATCCCAGAGGAAGTTGAGGGCAAGTCTTTTACTTTTGTCTTTTCTCCATGCTGGTCACGGGCTTTATCAGTTTACAGACATAAAGCTGCCTTTTGTGTTGTGAGGTCAGAAGCGCTAGGAGGTTGGAAGGGAGAAGAGTGGCCTAGATTCAGTAGTCCCCACAGTTCAGAGGCAGGCTGTACCCCTCCATTGCTAGCCTCAGCACCTCCACCTTGACCTGAGCTGCCAGCCCTGACTGTCCCCCTGCAGACCAGAGGAGACCCTGGATGTGATGGAATAAACAGAAAGGGAGCAGGATATTACTCAAAACCTGAGCCTGCCACCACCCTTGCCAGAAGAAGTCTTATTATCACCAGCATCCAAATATCCCAAGAAGGACTAAACCTGGTAGCGAATGTTGGTTAACAGTGAGTACAAGAGCCGGAATGGCTGAAAGAGCCAGAGCTGTCCGCTGTGATGAAGATCTCCCCTGCCTCCTGCTTCCCGCAAGGCCTGACATGTGGAGAACTCTGATGTCCTTGCCCTGTAGTCTCAGATTGTCACCCTCGCACATGAGAATGACTCATGTTGTGAAAGAGCAGCCCTGTGTGTGTATCTGGTGCCCAGTGATGGTTTAAAACAAGCTGACTTTCTGCCCCAACAGCAAGTACATTCTTGGCCTCAGCCAGCCCCTCCCCACATCGCCGTGGGGCCTTGGTCATCATGGGCCTCTTGTGCCCAGGTCAGCAAATGCTGTTATCACAAATGGCTTCCAGCATTCCCCCCACCAACCTGAGAATGTTCCATACCCCTAGCTGTCCAGCTGGGTTTACCAGGGAGGGTAAAGAACAAGCAGTGGGTTCTTACCTCACTGTGGGGCCTTTGGGTGGAAAGAAGAGAGTTTCTGATTGAAAAGAGCAGAAGGAATGACCTTTCCTTGCCTTTCCCTGCAGAGTAGGAAGGATGCTCACCAGGCTAGGGCCTGGACCTGAGAGTTTTGATTCAGATCAGTTGTGATTTGGAGGGGGAGAGTGCTTAGAAATGTTCTAGAATCTTGGGAGTTTAGAGTTGGAGGCACTCTGGTGAATAAGTAGGAAGCCAGGTCCTGCTGAGCCCCTCCCCGTTCTGCTTACTGGTGATTAGAGCCCAGCTCAGCCCTGCCACGTCTTTCTCAGTCCCCGGTCCCTCAACCCTTCCTTTGGCTCAGGTCCCTCCTCTGCCCTTGCAGGGACTGCAGGGCACAGGGTGGGAGGGCTGGGATGTTAGGCAGGGGTCTGGGCATTCAGACCACCTCTGCATTCACTCCCCTCCATCAGTGTCAGACTCCTGTTCCCACAGAAACCCAGTGTGCCCCTGACTCACTGGGTGTTAGAGTGATGATGATAGACAAAACAGTGCAAGGGTGTGAGAATTTGGCTACATTCTTGGCCAAGTAGCATTCCGTAGGCTGATTGGGAGGCCAACTGCCACATAACACTGATGCCTTGGAAAAAGGTTGTCCAAATACAGCAAGCACCAATTCACACGCACGTTTGGGTACTGCCTCTAGTCACACTTTGTCCATCACAGACATCATAAGCTCTTTAAACGCCCCACCCCTGCAAAAAAGCAGAGGTGGAGTTCTCTGGTGAATCGTCACCGGAATCGACAACTGAAGAGGTCCAGCCAAAGTAGGCATTAAATCTGTGCCTACGCTACCTCATTTTGTGGGACATGTTTAGCATATATTAAAAACAACAACACAACAACTCGCAACTACATTCTAAGTTTTATAAAATTGTTCTGATGTTTAAATGGAGAACTCATGAGAATAAGAAGATTCTGGGGGAAAGAAAGGAGAGAGACTTGCCAGACTTTAAAATATAAAACTACAGTAATAAAAGCAGTTTGATACTGGTAGGAAAAAAACAGCTCTATACAGGTCCAGCATACTGGGAATCTCATATTTAAGGGGGTATTACAGGTTAGTGGGGAAAGTATTGGTTGTTCAGTAAGACAGACCTGACTAGCCATTGGAAAAAAAAAATTAAGGTGGATCTCTAATTTATGTTTTATACTGAAATGAGGAATGGACTACAGGTTTAAAACAATAATAATAATACACATACATAAATTCAGGTGAAAGAAACATGGATGGATGAATTCTGTCATCTTGAGGCAAAGTAGGAATTTCTAAGCATATTAGTACTCAGATTATTTCCTTTAGAGCAAATTCCTACTGTTGCTATATTAGTTGGGGTCCCAGCAGGAAACAGTTGGCACACTCAAGGGAAGTAAACTGAGAGGAGAGTTTGTTAAGGGAAAGATTTATAAATATGTGGGCCAGTGTAGGGAAACCACAAGGGATAGGGCCAGACCCAGGGCTGGCAGCAGAGGGGAGCTGTTACCACTCCCTGTAGGGACGAAAGCAAAGAGCAATTACAAGACCTCGGGCAGCATGGCTGCGTGGAGAGGTTGCCTGTCTGCCAGGAGCGCTGGCCTTCAACAGAGGGAGGGGACAGATTTCTGACAACACTCTTCCCGTGTACCTCTCCCCCTCCCTGCCCATTGGTGTATCCCATGGGCCAAGCCCAGGCAGAAGCCAGAGAGCAGGATAGCTCATCGATATCATTTGCACCAACCAATCTCTCCAGGTAGAGTGAGGAACTTGAATCCAGGGCAGGCAAAAGGTAAATATATCCAGCACTGGGTCAAGGGATGTGAAATTTTTCTCCCCAAGGATTTTAATAAATACAGTGAGTTTACCTCTCAGAAACGTTGAGCAATTAGTACTCTAAGAGAGGTCCACTTTCCCACACTGTAGCCAACTCTAGGCGCTATTAACCTGATCAACATGGCTGGCTCCTTCTCCTCAGTCAGGGCTTCAGCCAGATAGCATTCTTCCCAGAAGCCTTAACTGACTTCCTTGGCCAAAATAGCCACCCCCCACCCACACCCCAGCTCCCTCTGTCCCACGACCTTACTTACTGTCTCTGTAACACTAATCACTCTCTCAGATCATTTGTCTATTTCTTTATCTGTTTCCACCTCTCCACCATAAACCCCATGAGAGCAAGTACCTCATCTGACTTGTCCACAGCTCTCTCTGTAGGATGATGCCTAGTATGTGGTACGTGTTCAATAAATTTTGGTTAAATGAATGTATCCTTGGAATGTAAACCTTGACCGTCATTCCTTCTGAGAGTATGTTGAATTCTAACATTGACCAGGTAACTAATGTCTCATTCATTGTTTACTTCTTTCCTCCAGCTCCCCTACTTTATGAATGAACTAACTCTGACGGAACTTGACATGGGGGTGGCTGTGCCAAAAATCCTTCAGGCCTTCAAGCCTTATGTTGATCACCAAGGTAACTCTTAATTGCCTCTAGCAGAGAATTTTACAAGTTGTTAAAATGTCTCCATCGCAGCAGATTAAATACCAAAGCTTTGTGTGTTGAGGGGGTTCTGGACTTTCTAAAGCATCTGTTTCATGTCGATTGTTCTTAACAGTCACAGCCTTCGGCAGATGGGGAATAGGTTCTATTTCTTCTAGTCTCTTAGATCCTTGAAGGTCCTCGCCTAGCCCAAACACGCCCATGTACCAGTTGGTGGGGCCAGCGTGTTTGTGTTTTAGAAAATAGCCCCTAGCCTGGATGGCTGCTACCCTTGCCAGGGTGAGAGGCGGCTGGGTGATTTCGGCCCTGCTCACCCCCAGTGGGCCTCACATGTGCACCTGCCCCAGCCTTCGACCCTCACCAGGTGCTCCCATTCCCCATATGCATTCATGCCTTTCCCTTGCCCCAGCTTCTAGGTTGCAAATTCTTTGACCTTCAGGTTTCACATCTTGATGTTCCTTCCCACGCCTAGTAGGCACTCAGTAAGTATTTGAAAAATGAAGACATGTTGTCAGCAATATTTTGAGAGTACATCTCTCTGCTGGGGGAATGTGTTGAGATTTGATTTTTAGACATGCTCCTTACACCTTATTTACACCTACACTTGTGAGTTGGGTCAGAAAGAATTGATCAGGATGTATATAGAGTTTAAATAAAACTATGACATAAAAGGGCTCCTGCGTGGCTTAGTCAGTTGAGCATCTGACTCTTGATCTTGGCTTGGGCCTTGATCTCAGGGTCATGGATTTGGGCCCCACATTGGGGTCTGCTCTGGGTGTGGACATAAAGACTTATATGTGTTTTGTAGCACATGGATTTAAAAGAACCATGATGGAGGGGTCCCTGGGTGGCTCAGTTGACCATCTGACTTCAGCTCAGGTCATGATTTCACAGTGTGTGAGTTCGAGTCCTGCATTGGTCTCCGTGCTGACAGCTCAGAACCTGGAGCCTGCTTCGGATTCTGTGTCTCCCTCTCTCATTGCCCCTCCCCTACTTGCACTCTATCTCTTGCTTTCTCAAAAATAAATAAACACTTAAAAAAGATAATACAAAATAAAAAAAATAGAAGAACTATGATGGAAAATTTAGTACATGGAGTGGGAGGGAAGGGGGAGGGTTGGAAGAGGTACAAGCCAGGTAGGCAAGAATAGTCATGAACAGGCAGGAAAAATCTCCCCATCACAGAAGTGTTCAACTCCTTTTCTGTAATATTCCTTTCCAAATGGACCTCTTTCCACCTAAACTAGATTGACCTCATTCCTCAAAGGCATAGGAATAAGTTTGGGGAGAAAATAATTACAACTTTCCAAGAGTGGTATTTGTTTTGAAGTAAATGTTTGGTAAATTTAGAGATTATAGCATCTATTTTTGTGTCTCTATAGCTATATCAGATGGCTCTTGAATCACATTTAATGAAATCATTTTCTGTGTTGTATACATTTGATGTGAATACAAAGAGATTTGTTTTCTAGCCCTATAATTAGTGGCTCTGATGATCTCTTTAGCAGTATTTCAGCCTCCAGTGAGCCCATATTTCCGTGTTTTTAGCATTACGTGGATTTCAGAGTTAGACCAGAGTGTTATTTACAAATCTAAAAGTTCACCTAATGCCTGCATGTTACGATTACCTATAATGCCTTGATCATGTCTGCACTTTGATAAATCTGAGTGTTCCTGGGTTTGGTTAATTTATGGTTCACTAAGGGTAAAACTAGAAAAGATAATTTGCAAACAATGGTTTAGCTAGAGCTCTTAACTGCATGTGAAAATTTAAAAGCTACATTATATATGTGTTGAGCGCCTAGCTAGGATCTCCACCTCATCCGTGTGTGATGCCTGCCTGCCTTCCTCTGGCTCCGGGGGGCTCTGGGCTCCCCTTGCTCTTTGCTTCTTTAGGAATTGACTAGTAACAGGCTGGTAAATGATCAGCTAACACACACCTCAGGCTTAAAGAAAGTAAATAACATGTATTCATGCTCTATTTCCTAATGTGTTAGCAGTCTCTTATCTCTGTCCTTTGTTGAATTAGTAGAAATTTCCAGCAAGAAGCAGGGCCACAGCTAGGCTTTGCTGCATCTAAGGAGTGTCCCCGTAGCTTTGAACTCTGCGGCTTCCCAGGGCAGCTTGGTCAGGCGTTGAGTGAAATTCACCAAATCCCTAAGCCTCTTTCCTCTTCCTCTGGAGCAAGACATTTCACTACCCAGATCAAAGCTTTGCCAGTTTTTAATCCATTCGAGGCTCGTTTAACTCCTTTCAGGGCAAGCTTTAGACATCTGCCTTGCTTATGTAACAAGGAAAGAAATGTTACAAAAGAAAGGAATGATAAAAGACTTTATAAAGCCTGTGGATTTTAAAAGTTTGATCAAATTGGGTTTTCCCAAGTCTGCAAAGGATGCATGTGATGGTAAAACAGACATAAAGGTAAAGGAAATGTGCTGTTTTGGATTCCATTGCTCTAAGGGAAACTTTGAAGGAAATGAAAATCAAGGGTGACTGGCTAACACGGACTCTGGAAAGCAGAGCTCACCTTCCGGGGAAATGCAAGCCTAGTGAAGAAGGCTTCCACAGCCCTAAAGAGGGCGCACCTCCTGGGGGAGTCCCCCACACACCCTTTTCCCCCTCTCTTATGTTTCCTAACTTGTACTTGTTTGTTGGAAGCACATGGCTGGGGAGTGGGGTGCAGATATTCGGGCCAGAGCTGATTGGATCACTCCATCCTCAGGATGAGGGATGAGTGGTGGTTCTGAGCACAGCTCTGGGGCCTGGCTTTGGGATTCATAGGTCCGCGACCTTGGGCAGTTTCCGTAAACCTCGCTAACCCCTCTGTGAAGTGGGGAGACCGTGACTTGGTGGGCGAGGCTGGTCAGAGGACTCCGTGAGTTAGTGCATGGAAGGCACCGGGCAAGCGTGTGGCGCAAGGAGAGCGCAGTCACCGCAGGCCATTATTTTTACCATTGGTAGTGGCGCCTTTGCTGCCACTGCTCTGGGAGAGTTGAGAGTTTGGGTGGCTGTGGTGCCCAGTTAACCCATTTTACAGGAATAAATGGAAAGAAGAAGGCCATCCTCGGCTGTCGTGGCCTCGCCACTAAAAGGAGCAACATCTGTAGTTCCTCTGAATGAAATCACACGTCAGCCACCACCGGTCTGTCCGAGCCCCAGGACACACAGCCAGTTTCTCAAGTCGAAGGACCACCTTCCCCTTCGCTTCCCACCAGTGGCAGGTGGCTGGAAGATGGGGAAGATTTTCTCATGGAAACTGGCTGTACACCTTCTGCCTCGTCTCTGACCCCGGCCTGCTCCATACGTCCCTCTGACTGAGGGCCGTGTGTGGGTCTCCTTTCTTCCTTCAGGCCGCACAGCGGTCAAATGCCCCAGTGCCCCGGAGGGTCAGAGCAGCACCTGCAGGCATGTCAGTCAATGTCAAGATGAACCGAGGATGTGAACTCTGACCTCTCAGGATCACATAAATTCATTTAGTCTTCAGGACCTTAGCTACATGTATTTAAACTTACAAATAGGCACTAAGCATCCACCACAGAAGCCGTCTGTTTCAAGATACCCAAGAGCCCAAGCTTTGACAGAAGGTACTGGATTCTGTGGCAAGAGTACCAGGTCCCACAGGAGCAGAAACCTTGTCTGTTTTCAGAAAAGCCTTTGGTCATGACTGGTGGTGTCTACTATCTATGGCCTGTCTTCTGGACCTTGACCTTTCGCGTCTGCTGCCTTTATCCAGGGCTGGGACCGAAGTTACTTTGCCACCGAGTATTACAGAAAACTGGAACCAGAGTCAGCCCGTGACCTGCCCATTCCTTCCACCATGCCCTTGTTAAGAACCTAGAGGAGAGGGTTGGCTGGGGGGCTCAGTCGGTCAAGCATCCCACTCTTGATTTCAGCTCAGGTCATGATCTCACAATTTGTGAGTTCAAGCCCCACATCGACTGACACTGCAGAGCCCACTTGGAATTCTCCCTCTCTCTCCCTCTCTCCCCCTTTCTCTCTGCCACTTCCCCCCCCCCCCCGCCCACACATGTATGCTTGCTGTCTCTCTCAAAATAAATAAAAAAGAAGAACATGTGGGAAAGCAGCAGCCCAGCGTTGAGCACAGCGACAGGGTCAGGCCATGGGGCTCAGCACTGTGGGGCTCAGCACAGGGAATGGACCCGTCCCTTCTGACCGGATCATGCTGCAGAAAGAAAATTACTTTTTGGTGGAAAGGGGGCATAATACTGTTTTGTGGAACGGGGTTGGGATGGGAGAGAGGAGACTGAGTTGATGATCTTGAGAGGCGGAGCGATTTCCAAGAACAGTTACAGGTAGACAGGATGGCATCTGTCCTAACAGACACACCCAGATACGAGGAGTGCAGGTTCTCGGTGGTATCTGAGTGAGCGATACAGCATCAGGAACAAGACCGTCCCTGGTGTGCTTTTCTCAGAACCTGTAACTCCAACGTCTGTTCCTAGAAATATATTATTAAATGTACCATTTCAAGAAGTTTGTTTGGATGCCAGATGTTGCCTCTCAAAGTGAAAACCAACCAGTAATAGTTAAAATCCGTGGGAAGTGGAGGAGCAGATGACATGAGGGCCAAGTTCAGGTGAACATGGCTTTAAGTTCTTCCAGCCCCTCCAAAGCAGCAGGTACCGTTTAACCTACTCCAGGGAGACTGATGCCTTTTAGTTACTTTAGTGGTAACAAAACCGTGAGCTGCTGAGAGAAATTTCTAGATTTATGTGGCCCCAGTGGGATGGTTCCCATGTCCATCGCATCTGTCAAATAGAATACCAGGAGAAGGCTGAAGGACCTGTATTCTAGTCTCTGGTGCCCGCGCTAAGGCGGGCTTGTCTCCCGTGGCTCCACGGGCCAGTCTGCACCAGGTGGCCCAGGCTGCCTTTATCCATCTTCGTGCGCAAGGTGCCTGAGGGCAGGGATTCCTCTCAGTGTCTTCAGCTCTGACATCTTGGACTGAGAACTCAAGGAACCTTTTGGGTGGAGCAGGCTGTAACCTTTGCCTCAGTCTCCCTCCGAGTGGTGGTGGCGGTGACTGATCCTTCCCTCGTGAAGCCAGAGAGCGGAAAAACAGCCACCGAACCTCCCTGCAGGTGCTGGCATGAACACCGACTGAAGTTGTCACTGTCAGTTTTGTTGCCCATGTTACCAGATCACGTGCCAGTTGTACAGAGACTTGTTAGTAATCAGCTTCCACTCTTCACCACTGGACACCCTCTTCACACGAGGACTGCTTGTGTAGGGGACATCTGTTACAGACTGAATACTTGTGTCCCCTGACCACCCCCCCCAAATTCAAATGTTGAAGCCGTAACCTGCAATGTGCTGATATTTGGAGGTGGGGTTTTGGGGAGGTGACCAGGTTTAGATGAGGCCTGGGAGAGGGGGGTCCTCATAATGGGGTCAGTGCCTTATGAGAAGAGACCAGCCAACCAGCTTGCTGTCTCTGTCTGCCATGTGAGGACACAGTGAGACGGTGGCCTTCTGTGAGCCAGGAAGAGAGCTCTCACTAAGAACTCACTGGGAACTGAATTGGCCGGCACCTTGATCTTGGACTTCCCGCCTCCAGAGCTGTGAGAAATAAATGTCTGCTTTTAAGCCAACCCAACTTATGGCTGTTTGTTATAGCGGCCCAAGCAGGCTGATCTGAGACTCTTTGTTTTCATGGCCTTTCTGGAGGACCTCTCTGTGCACTGACGACTGCCTTACTCCTATTTAAAGGCTTCAAAATTGCCTGGCGCAATGTTTAGTTTTTGTCCTCAAGCATTAAGAGCAGGTGGTTATAGAAAGCATCATTTTAAATGAAATGCCTCATAAAAAAGTCTTAACATGTGTCAGGAGCACAAAAGAACGAGCTCTCTGCACCTACATTCATCCAGGTCAGTTGTGTTCAGCTTGGAGAGAATTGAGACCCCAGTCACAGAGCAGAGCGTGTCCCCTTCCTCACGTTGTTAACGCAGATCATCCACACTGGGAAGACAGCCTTTCTAGTAACTGTTCATTTCATCTTTCACTCATATAAGGCAGGAGCGTCCTGACTCACCCATTATGTAACCATTCGGTCTCCGCTCCAGGTGGTATGTGCTCCAGGCTTTTCAGGGTGCTTTTCAGCTTGCTGAATCATTGTCACAGAAGCAGGTTTTTCTTTGCACCTAATGCTAAAATAGTCTCCTTCCCCTCATCTAAATGCAAGCATGTCATGTTAAAGTAATCTGTTGAATTGCTTGCAGTTTGTATCTGGTTTTAAAAGTCCTCAAGCCAATTCTTGACTCCATATTCTGCCTGAGAACCAGGGCTGAACATGGCCCTGTGGATGGGCATGTTGGGGCAAACACAGTGATATGAAAAAAGAGAACCCGTTCCTCATGCACGGGCTCTGTCAGATGTCCGTGCTTCGTGCCCTCCCCAGCCCAGACAGGGCTCTCTGCCCGTCTAGGGCCCTGTTGGCCCTGTGGCCTTCTCCGGTCTTGTCACCAGGGCAGAGCTCAGTGCACCTGTCAGCCCTGGAAGGATCCTGTCCTCTGGGTTCTTCTCACATTTAGTAAGAAAATACACTCCCAGCAGGAAGATGGCTTGACCCAGGGCAAAGCCAAGACAGAGTCTTCTGGTTCCCAGTCTGGTATGAGGCAGAAGAGAAGTGCATAGACCTCACTGAACGCTGGACTATTCTGAACTCATGGCAACAGCAGGAACCTAGGCTGGAGCAAGGAGGCATGGAAGTAACGAAGTGGACTGGTGACAGCAGAGAGAGGGAAGAGCCTCAGCTGGGATGGACATAGCCCTCCCCGGAAGAGGCAGCACAGCCCCCCTTGTGCACGTGAGAAGGCCAGTGAACAGAGGTTCTAGAAAGTTACAGTGGAACTCAAGCCCAGTCCACGTGCCAGGGCTCCACGTGCACCTTCCCTCTGCCTTCCCCACCTCAGCTCCTAGAAGAGTGGGCTCTGGGCTATACATCACTGGGTCAAATGTCCCAGTTATTGGGACATAAGCCAGCAGTGCACTAAGCTATAGCCACACCTCCTCATTTAAAGAAACAAACAAAACCTTCTACTTTATAAGAAGTAAAATTCTGATGCCTTTAACATGACAATCTTCAGAGGCACTATATACAATTAATATTTATTAGAAACCTGACCAGGATCGAAAGAAGTTATTTTTTTTTAATGTTCTATTTATTTCTAAGAGAGAGAGAGAGACAGCATGAACAGGGGAGGGTCAGAGAGAGGGAGACACAATCCAAAACAGGCTCCAGACTCTGAGCTGGCTGTCAGCACAGAGCCCAACGCAGGGCCCGAACCCACAAACCGTGAGATCATGACCTGAGCCGAAGTCGGACGCTTAACTGACTGAGCCACCCAGGTGCCCCAGAAGTTATTTCTGAGTACATACAGCAGCCAGGTAGTTTGAATCCTATCAATTCTCAAGTTAAAAAAAAAAAGTGGAGTATTATACAGCAATAAATACCTTCTTTATTGATGTTCTATCTATATTGAGTTGAAAACCTATTACTATCTAGCCTTTTGCCCGATGCCCTTTCTACTGGAAGTGATTCATGACTAAATGTCTTTATAAAAGCAGACACACCCTTTGTTTCCAGCAACAGCACCTTTGAAGAGCGAGCTAATTGATGCTTTTGAACTGCTTAACATAAGCAAGAAATAAAGCAGTTTTGTGAGTTGCTACAAACAAGACAGTCACGAAAAGAATTTGTTGAAAACAAAATGGAAATTATTCTGCCGTTAGTGAAGAATTATACCATTAGTGCTTCTTGAGGTTAAGCAAAGCTTTTATCTGAAATGGTGCCCAAACAGGAGATAGGTTATTTACTGTAATTGCTTGAAAATGCTGCTGTGTGTGAACAGTGGTTTTAGATTAGTTTCCTGCTTCCTTTCAGATGTTGTCATGTTTCTCATGAGGATCTATAAAGTTTATTAACATTTAAACACCCACTTGAAGGATCACATGTTGATTGAGAGTCCATGAAGGATTATGGAACCCCACACTGAAAAATCACAGCCTCTCACATTCTATTGGCAATTCACAGAATCCTGCTGTAGAAGGCTGTGAGATGGTCCCTGTTTGCATTTTAGGCTTCTGGTCAGTGGCCACTTCTGTTGGTGGGCCATCCCAGTGAAATTCCACAAAACTGAAGCCTTTTAGATATTCTCTCATTGACATTGTTATTTTAAACTAAGGTATAAAGTGGTTACCCCACTTTATCTGGATAATTCTGGGGCTTGAACATTAATTGTTTTATTCCTGTTACTAGGCAATTTCTGAAAAGAAATTATCCTTATACTGAGCTCAATCTGGAGCATTTTCTGTGCTCTGCTCTCCCAGCAACATGAGATAATTTCAAGACAATGGTTCTCACATGTGCCTTTAAAGAACAGCCCAGATTTGAGGAGCTGAGTAGCTCAGTTGGCCAAGTGTCCAACTTCAGCTCAGGTCACAATCTCGTGGTTCTTGGGTTCGAGCCCCATGTTGGGCTCTGTGCTGACAGCTCAGAGCCTGGACCCTACTTCAGATTCTGTATCTTCCTCACTCTCTGTCTCTCTCAAAAATAAATAAACATTAAAAAAAAAAAAAAAGAGAGAGAGAGAGAGAATAGCCCAGCATTCAGTGAGGTCTCTGCACCTCTCTCCTGCCTCGTAACTGACTGATTTTGCCCTGGGTCAAGTCATCTTCCTGTTGGGAGTGTATTTTCTTACTAAATGTGAGAAGAACCCAGAGGACAGGATCCTTCCAGGGCTGACAGGTGCGCTAAGCTCACTGTGACCGTTTTAATGGATATTCACATGTTGGCAAGCTGACAAAACGCTTGAACCATTTCCTGGAGCTTTACTTTGCGTGACCTCCCCTTGCATACAGTGGTAGTACAGGCCATATAAATCTATAGACTTTCAATGTGATATTTGCTTCAGTCCTTCAAAGTATAAATTTTTATATTGTCATTGATAGTCCTATTTTCCAGGGGGAAAAATCCTTCTGTTTTTCGCCCTTTCTGCAGGACTCTGGATCGATTTGGGAATGTCCTACAATGGGTCCTTTCTGATGACTCTTGAGACCAAAATGAATTTGACCAAACTGGGGAAAGAGCCTCTTGTTGAAGCCCTGAAGGTTGGAGAAATTGGCAAAGAAGGGTAAGAGGCCACATGAGTTGACTAATCCAACCCTGGGGAACCAGCCTCTCCCTCTAGCATCTGAGAAGCAGCTTTGATGTATAGTAGCCTTGGATGCTGGGTGAGCTTCCGTACGATGGCTTTTGGACCACAGAGGGTTTCAGGGAATGGGTCCTTACTCTCATCCTGCAGAGGCTGCGAGTTTCCACCTCTGCTCAGCGCCTCTTGGCCTCAGTGATGCCAGTGGGGCACACAGCATCTATTATCCAGAAAGCAACACTGACTCAGACCAGCGGGGCAGGCTCTTCTGCACAGTAAAATGCTCTGTGAAGGGTATCGTCATACAGAAACTATCCTTCAGCCTGCAGCCACAAACAGCAATATGTGGGCAACACCAGGGTCCCTGAGGAGTCTATCTGCTTTAATCACAAAGTCAGAATTATTTATAATAAGATAATTGAATCTGTAGCCTAGAGGGTGCACCTAAAGTGTTTTGAGATGTATTTTCCCTAAATAATACAATATTGATTTGCTTTAGTAGTAAATTCCTCTCTTTGTAGAAGATACTGCATCTGCTGCCCATTTTGTCTGATTCAGTAAATATTTCAAATTTGTGTGATAATTAATTAAGGTTGATTTTTTTCCCTTAGATGCCTAGAATGGATAAGCTAGAACTTTTACATTCCCATACACCTTAAAAATGACTGCCTTTGCTGCAAAATTTTTTTTAACATTTATTTATTTTTGAGAGACACAGAGACAGAGTGTGAGCAGGGGAGGGGCAGAGGGAGAGGGAGACACAGAATCCAAAGCAAGCTCCAGGCTCTGAGCTGTCAGCACAGAGCCCAACATGGGACTCGAACTCACGAATTGCGAGATCATGACCTGAGCCGAAGTCGGCCTCTTAGCCGACTGAGCCACCCAGGCGCCCACTGACTGCAAATTTAAATTTTATTTTTACCAAACTAAATATGCTGAGTGGAGTCTGTTTCTCCTATCTTTACACCTTTGGCGTGGAATTGACACTACAGTGACAGGAAAACCCCACAAAGACCCACCTTGTCAAGGTCTAAATTTAAGACACAGACTCTTAGATTTTTTGTAGTTATGATGCTAACCTAATGCTTGTATTTATGCATGTGGTAGTAGGAGATCGGGGTGGGGAGTCATGCATTTGAGAATGTGCTTTTAGTTAGATTATTCTGATTTATCCAGGTTACTTAATGAAATGTGCTTCTTTTAATGATTGGAAAGTTTCCCCTGTCGTATGCAATCTAACCTGTATCTGTGCTATTTTCCTTTCATTTTTCTGCTATTTGTTAAAATGTATTTGGATTCGGCAATCTATGGATTGTATTTTCTGGTGAGTGGTGTTTATCAACTCTCCATGTAGCATTTCATGCCCTGTAGGTACAGAGTCTTGTTTGGTCCCATGTGAAACCACTAGGAAGCTTGTCCTTAACATGTTCCTGGACATAAAGGCTCAGTTTATAGACCTGAGAGGATTGAGGTCAGAGTATTTAAGAGGCTTTCCTGGGAGGGAAAGTCTTAACTTCCCTGATTTGAGTTGCTGAGGTTTTGATCTAGTTCTCTAATCAGACTCCACTTCCTGTGCCTGGATCCTCCCCACCCCACTGCCATGCACAGCTGTGTCATCAGCCACCCAGCCTATAAGATGAAGCAGCCTCTGGGCAGAGGCAGCCTTGAAAATGAGGCCTAACTGCACAGGAGCCGGACAGAGCAAACTTCAGTCAGGAGCCTGTGGAAGGAGCCCATTCTGGAAACAGCCTTGCGCCCAGCACAGAGCAGCTGGGACTCCGATAGAAAGGGAGGTCCTGGGCAGCAGATGGGACCCCAGTACATCCAGGCCCCTAAGATCCTTGCCACTTAGGTGTTCCATGAGCGCTGTTCCTCAGGTGCCTCCCTCGGCACAATCTTGAGTCCGTAAACCCTGACCAGTCAGAGGATGGACATGTTTCTGAGTAAGCAGTACTTCTCTAGACTGGAGGAAGCACGTCCTCTGCATTGGGAATATGATGATACTTATTTGTAATACACTTCTAAGGTACCTTTTTTTTCCCTTAGTAGAGTCTGTTTTGCTCCTTCCTGTTGAGGCTGTTAAATATGTTGATGTGTAATTGGCTGTCATTTAAACATACATTCCAAGAGTGCTTCATTTGGGAGAAAAGGGCCTGGAAAAATGGACCTGTAGCCTTTTCTTTTTTACATAAAGGACCCTTTTTGGGGAATCTGGATCCTTCTCCCTGAAAATGCCTACACATGTACCATTTGGCTCACAGTTTCTGAGTGCCTTGAGAGCCTCTGAAAGCCCATCCATAGCTAAGTGATTCTAGAGTCCACTTCTTCACTTCCTCAGTCATGAGCATATTGGAATCACCCTGAGTCGAAGCACTGGGGAGAGATGGACGTCGGTAGACATGGTAGCTGTTGCTGAGCATGCGATCTTTGGTCCCAACGTTTCCCTCCCCAGTGACTCTCTCCAGAGATTAGGCTCTGGCAGGGCCTCTGCTTTCTCTCACCGCCTTCTTTGGTCCCCCTTAAATGTGCAAGTGATTGTGCCCCTGGGGGAGTCTCTAGAAGATGCTGCTCAACCTGTGGGAAGTCCTACTTCCTGGTGGAACATTTGTTCATGTCCTCCCATTATTACCCTGAGGATGACAGTGAGAAATTGAAATCTGTGTGGCTTTATTCTAGTGAAGCCCTTTCTCTTTGAAATATTTGTATACTTTATAGTTTTGGGCATTTTTCCTTTCGTCTTTATTTCCCAAATAGCCATGCTGTGACATAGATAGTGTCGTTAACATAACTCTGGGGCAATAATGTGCTCCAAGTGGAATTCAGGTAGCTAGCTGAGCAGCCATAACTGTATTTGACCTGGAGGGGATCAGCGTGAGTCCATAAAGAAAACGTTCTACGTGTTGACCATTTTCTAAAGGACCGTGGCTTTGGAGTAGGCCATTTCCTGTAGGGCACTCATGCTGTTCATGCGCTACCATTGCAGCCTGGGTCCGTGTGCAAGTCCCTGTAGGGAGGCCCCTGTGACCGCCATGTTGGGTCACCTGTCCGCAGCTTACCCTGAACCACCACCACCTGGAAGCCCCCGTGTTTGGGGAGCCTGCAGCCCACTCTGTGACTCGGTCTAGCTCTGCGGCTATGCGCACACGTGTGTCTGTGGCAGATGTATGGTGCTGATGTCATTTAGAGAAAATGAATACATTCTCCCGTGCGTAGCCACCTCCCTGGACTGTTTAATGTAATTATGCAGCCTTCACTTAAAGCATTTTTTGGAAGCTGCCTTTGAGAACTGCCTCCAGAGCCTATGGCATTCTTTTAACTATTTTGAGTATCAGCGAATCATCCTGCTTTGTAGACGGATTGGATCTTAGAGAAAGTGCTAGAAGTTGTTCAGGGGCAATGGTGATTTTGAGACCAAGAAATAAAATATTTGGTCCAAGATACAGTATCAGTGATAAAATAATTCGTTTTTCTTATGTGTTTGGCTCCAAGCACGTGTCCAAAAAGATTTTTAGCAGAGGCAGCAAAACTAGAATTAGCCCCTGAAGGTGGCTTTTTGAGAGGATATTAAACTCCTCTAGATCCTAAGGTGTGTTTTAAAAAACTAGGCTTATTAATGTTCCAGCACATCTTTTTTTTTTTCAATGTCTATTTTTGAGAGAGAAAAACAGAGCATGAGTGGGGAAGGGGCAGAGAGAGGGAGACTCAGAATCCAAAGCAGGCTCCAGGCCCAGAGCTGTCAGCACAGAGCCTGATGTGAGGCTCGAACCCATGGCCCATGAGATCATGACCTAGGCTGAAGTCGGACACTTAACCGACCAAGCCTCCCAGGCACCCCCCAGCACATCTTATATAAGTATGTGTGGTGTATCTTTCTCTGAAGTTCATGCTGAGAGCACGAGATCATAAAATTCATGTTGAGTTATAAAACAAAATGTCAACCAAATATTTAGTTACATGTTAAATTAGCAAAGATTGGGTACCACCTTGGGGTAACCGTTTGGTCAAAATCAGAATTTTATATCATCTGATCCACTTGAACTGATATGGTGCTGTCTAAATTATTAACTTCAAGCCACAAAATGTATCCTGTTCTCTGTCCTGCAGAGGATTAATTTGGGAACCCAAGAGCTCTCTGCAGTGCTCAGCCTTTGGCATCTTCTGCCTCAGGGCTGGCGGCTGACAGGTGACAAATACCAGTGGGGAACAGGAGGGACTGGTGGCCCAGCAGGTTTCACTGCGGTCCCAGATCTCGAAGGAGCCTTTTGTGCCGCGTGGAGGGGAAAGCAGGCTACCGACGCCTGGCCTGAGAGCACGTCTAGAGCCAGGAAGCACAGTCATCGTACCGATGGACAAGCGAGATAGGGTTCTCAGATGGTTGTGCTATCTTGGGGATTTGCCTCCCTGCCTTTCCTCATCTCGAGACCCAATTTAGGCTTTCTTGGGACTGATATTTCACTGTACACATTTTATATAGAAGAAGGTCCCTGTGAGGACTGCCTAACCAGGGAAAGCTGTGAAATGGCTTTGAGACCTGCGAACACCCAAAAGCAATTCCTGGACTCGCCAGGTCTCCAAGGGAAGGAGGAAGGAAGAGTCAGTTCGGCATTGTCTCCGCGGCCAGGGACAAGAGGCTTTTGTGTGTGCGGAGGGAGTTTCCCTTTAACTGTACAAGCGTGTTGGCCCAAACAGCTGGCTCTAATGTTTCAGAGCTGGGGTCGGGGAGGACCCGGGTGTCCTGCCAGGGAGGACATTCGCAAGGTCCTCTTCCAGTCAGGCTCCTGTTTCACGGGGTGGAGACTTCAGCCCCACCGTTCTAGCTGGGGCCTCTGCTGGGCCTTCAAGTCTGCACTAGTGTGTGTGCTCTGCCCTTGAGTGCCCTTGGCTGCCTTTGGCCAGGAGATGACTGCCCCCTGCGAGCATCGGAGGGAAGTCCCATTGGGATCGCCCCTGTAGGGATAGGACCTAAGCTCCCCAGCTTTCCCGTCCCAGTAATTTTGTCCTTAGAGGAAATACAAGGCTTAACCTCTGCTTTGTGACCATTTGGTTGCTTAGTAGTGTTCAGAGACTACTCTGTCCCTTCATCCCAGTGAAGTTTCTGAGCCTCAGAGGTGGGCCCTACCTGTCTGCCTCTTTGAAGCAAGGCCACCATCCAGGGAGGGAGCTGCCTTTTGTGGGGCCGGATCTTAGCCAAGAACTGCCCCCCCCCACACACACACACTCCCAGTGCCATTAGAATGGCACTCGCCACTGCTGGTGATCTAGTAACCCCCATGCCTCTGGAAACTGAGTATCCATGGAAAGATTAATGGGGGACATTGTTTGCTTATAAAGCTTTGTATTACTTTATTTTTTAAATGGTTTTTACATTTGTATTTCTCCAGGAAACTTCTTAGGCTCTCCCATCGATGGTTTCCTAGAGCCCCTTGAGATTTGTCCCTTGCGATTCTTGGCTTTTTCTGTGGCCTTTAGGAGCTAGGGCAGGTAGGGGATAAGACACATAATTTCACTAGGAAGGAGTCTTAAGTCAGAACTAATCTGGAGGTGACTAAGAAAGCGTCAGAGATGTTGAACTCAGCCAGAGTCCAGGGACTTGCCTAAACATCCCGCCATGTGTGAGAGGAGGTCATGTCGCCAACATCAGCTGTCACCTCACCCTTGCAACCATCGTGCTTTCCATCCTCCTCCCACTGGTGGCTCCTGCTGCACTGTCGGTGAGATCACTGCATTCTGTGTGGACGGCATCACACTCCCACCACCTGTCCAGACGCATGCTCAGAATGGAACTCTTGAGGCCCAAATCCTCTGTGCTGCTCTCAGGGGACTTGGCACTGAAGAGTCTCCCGGGTAACCTACCCAATCCAAGGGCTCTTGGATCGAGCCTCTCTTTTTCCGGGTGGGTTGGGGAGAATGAGGACATGTTAGCGGTGATGGCGGTGGAGCATGTGTGTTCTCTTTCTAAGCAGAGCCTGAAGAGCAGGCTACGGTGGTGACTCTGCCCTGATCAGTTGCAGGCCCAGGGCGTACTGTCTGGCAGACAGCGACGAGGAGTCCTCCAGTGCTGGCTCCTCTGATGAAGATGATGCTCCAGAGCCCAGCGCAGGAGACAAACCGCTTCTCCCAGGGGCTGAAGGGTGAGTGGATCTGGCTTCCTGGGTCTCCAGGGCTCAGGGCACCAAACTGGGTGCCCTTTATAAGCTTTGTTCTTCCTTTGTGTTGAATGAATGGCTTTTGCATTAAGAACCCAGAGTCAGTGGCTTAAAACTCCAGTCCCCACATGTGAAGGACCTGAATATTCTTTTCTTTGCTAAGAAGGTCCCCATCAAAATGGCTTTCTTGGGCCAGTGAAGAAAATTATTAATAGAGCATTGAAAGTCGTGTTTAGTGCAAGGAGCTTACACAACACCTCCACCTAGTGCCTAGTGGAGAGCATCACCGCCCTCAGTCGAGTCACACTTTCTCATTGAGCTGCCAGTTCCCACAAGGCTGGAACATTCGGGTGATTTCTATGGTGAATTTTGTTTTCTGGGTTTTTTTTTAAATGTTTTATTTATTTCCGAGAGAGAGAGAGGCAGCATGAGCAGGGGAGGGTCAGAGAGAAAGGGAGATACAGAATCTGAAACAGGCTCCAGGCTCTGAGCTAGCTGCCAGCACAGAGCCCGACGCGGGGCTCGAACCCACGAACCGTGAGATCATGACCTGAGCTGAAGTCAGATGCTTAACCGATTGGGCCACCCAGGCACCCCGCTATGGTGAATTTTTAAGATGTGGGTCACTTAGCTGGTCTTTTGGGACTTCATTTTCAGGGCTCCCTTCACCTTTTACTTGGACTGTGGAATAATCAGAGTGCTTAAATAGCTTCTCTGTAAGGGTCTTTTAATTGCTTAAACTGAGCTGAAGCAACTAAGATTATAAAGAAACCAGAGATTCAGAAGCATTTGTAAGAAAATATCAACCTGTTCGCTTTTGAGATCCTACAGAAAATGGAGAGAATCCAGACATTGGAGGGGCCGATGCTCACGTTTGCATGCATTATTTAAAAGCTACCCTCTTGACCTTCTTAAGAATGACTGCTTTTCCCTACACACATACACATACTATTCCTGACACTCTGGAACTCTGGAGGATTTTAAAAAGCATATGTCCTCTCTCCTTAAGGCAGCGCCATGGTTGATAGGACCTGGTACAAAAGCTTGCTTTCTTGGCCTGCTGGCACACTAGCTTAACATAACATTTTTCTTGAGAATGAAGTTCCAAGCCCTTTGAAAAGTAGTTGCCCCTGAACGGTGGGATGCCATCACCCCAAAGGCAGGCAGTTAATGACTGTGTTTTATGCCCTGTCAGGTGCAGCACGATTTCTTATTTGCTGTGTAGACATGGGGAGGTTTCTCTAGGAGAACACAGGATTTTTGTTCAGTAGCTGAGGGCTGTTAAGGAGGACGGGTGAGATGCCTTCTCTGCTCCGTGAGAACTTAGTCTCTCCGTTGGTCAAGACTTGGACCTTGTCTATTGTTTACACCTTCCTGAAGGTAGTGGTTTCTCTACTGGAGGTTATTTTGCCCACCAGGGGACATTTAGCGATGTCTGGAGACATTTTTTATTATCATGACTAGGGGAAGTATGCTATTGGCATCTAGAAGATTCAGGCCAGGGGTGCTGCTAAGCATCATACAGTGCCCAGGACAGCCCCCACCACAAAGAATTACCCAGTCCAAAATGACAGGAGTGCTTCGGTTTGGAAACTGTGGTCTAAAGTAAGGTGAAGGAAGAGCCACAGAGGTTTTGTGTGTGAAGGAGCAAAGTTTAAATTTTTTTTAATGTTTATTCATTTTTGAGAGACAGAAACAGAGCGTGCATGGGGGAGGGGCAGAGAGAGAGGGAGACACAGAATCTGAAGCATGCTCCAGGCTCTGAGCAGTCAGAGCAGAGCCTGACATGGGGCTCGAACTCACAGACTGCGAGATCATGACCTGAGCTGAAGTCAGACACTTCACCAGTCGGGCCATCCAGGCGCCCCAAGGAGCAAAGTTTATACTAACATTTGTGTCCTTCATTTAAAGGTATGTTGGGGGTCACCGAACAAGCAAGATTATGAGGTTTGTTGATAAAATTACCAAGTCAAAATATTTCCAGAAAGCAACAGAGACAGAGTTCATTAAAAAGAAGATTGAAGAAGTCTCCAATACCCCCCTGCTGCTCACTGTGGAAGTGCAAGAATGTAGAGGAACCCTGGCGGTCAACATTCCACCTCCCCCGACTGACCGAATATGGTGCGTATGATCTGTTGCATTGCCATAAAAATCCCAGCCTGCTTACCCTTGACATTGTGGAAAGTACCTTCTGGGCAGTAGCACTTTCACACGTCTTTCATGAAACCTTAATATTTGTCACAAATCCAATTCTGCTTTCTTCTGTGAATGGTTAACTCACATTTAAAGCTTCGTCTTCACATGTTTCCATTCCTGGTCTTCCTCCTCTCTAAAGCCTGTTCTTCCCACCAGTCAGAAGAGCTGCCGTCTGTAGAGCTCTTACGCTCGGCCTGGCCTGGGGTGTAAGTGTTTCACCTGGTCACTCCTCACAACTTCGTGTGGAGATAGGTACCACTGTTACCCCCACTTTACAGAGGGGGATCACTCATTCCGCAGAGCCTGAGGTGCGTAGGAAAGACCCCGTGGGTTAGACCTAGGTGTTAAGGAGGCAGAGCCTATGCACTTGGTTACCATGGGAGGAGCTCTACCCAAGGAATTGTCATCAGATGAACCAATGGTTCTCAAATCCAACTGCATATCACAGTCACCTGGAGACTTTTAAAAACAGAGATGCCCCCAGCCCCCAGGATCCATGGCATGGAGAACTAAGCCAGGATTGAGAACCGCTGAAATAACCTATTCAAGGGTCCAGCAAAAGAAAATCACTATCTGTGAATTGCAGTTTAAAATTGACATTCCAGGGGCATCTGGGTGGCTCGACTGGTTGGTCATCAAACTCTCAATTGTGGCTCAGGTCATGGTCTCATGGTGGTGAGCCCCTCACCGGGCTCCTCACTGGGCATGGAGCCTGCTTAAGATTCTGTCTCCCTTTTCCTATGTCCTTCCTCACTTGCATGCATGTGCTCTCTCACTCTCTCTCTCCCTGGAAATAAAATAAAATTGATATTCTAGGTCCTTATGATGTACATAAGTGTATACAGTGATTGCATGAGACTTCGTTGCACCATAAACTACACTGGCATGAAAAAGGTAGCTCTCTTCTACCCTAGAGTGACACTTGCACGCTAGTGCATACGCCTGCCGTTCAGAAGGGTTGATAAGAATTATCAGGGGCACCTGGGGGCCTCAGGCAGTTGAGTGTCTGACTTTGGCTCAGGTCATGATCTCACAGTTCCTGAGTTCGAGCCCCGCATCAGACTCTGTGCTGACAGCTCTGGGCCTGGAGCCTGCTTCGGATTCTGTGTCTCCCTCTCTCTGCCCCTCCCCCACTCGTGCTCTGTCTCTCTCTCTCTCAAAAATAAGTAAACATTGAAAAATTTTAAGAAGTATTTATCAGAAAATTTTTGAATTGACTAACCATTTGATGAGAATACTGGTATTTCGCAGTAAAAACTTTTTAGGTTTTATTTTTAAATAATTTTTTTAAAGTGTGTTTCTTTATTTTAAGAGACAGAGAGTGCATGCATGAGCAGGGGAGGGGCAGAGACAAGAAAGAGAGACTCCCAGGCAGGCTCTGCACTCCATGCAGGACCCCAACACGGGGCTCGATCTCACTACCATGAGATCATGACCTGAGCCAAAACCACGAGTTGGATGCTTAACTGACTGAGCCACCCAGGTGGCCCTAGATTTTATTTTTAGAGAGCAATATTTCATTTTTTAAAAAAAGGAACAAATTTTTTAAAAAGCGGGGGGGGGAGGCGATAATCTTATCATTCAGAAATAACCACTGTTAATCTAAGAAAAAAAATTTATTTAATAGTAAGAGTCGATACAACGTACCTTCACTTACTTTCGTGCTTTAAGATGTATCAGTTACAGGTGCCACTGCTCGGTGGAAGATAAAATTAAAGGCTTCTGGGTTAGTGCTACCCAGTGCATTTGTTATTAACCCACAGAGAAGTATAGATCTTGGGAATGTTTAGAAATGTTTATAGCTATCTGATGTTTTTGCTGTAGTTTTTAAAACATTGGTCTATGACAGATGGAAGTTTTTAGGTAGTTTCATAGCACAGTCTCTTGTCCGGATCCTTTATGAACAGTGTGAGTGCCAGTCAGCTCCACTGGGAAGGCTTAATAAGCATGCTGTAGAGGATGGAATGAAAAGCAGGTTATAGAACATTCTCTCTTTACATATGCATGTTAAGAGTGTGGGGGAAATTGACCCCACTTCTCTCAATGGTCCTGTGTTGGAGATAAGATTCAGAGAGAAGCAGTATCTTTCACTTTTTGCTTTATACACATGTATACTTTGGGTTTTGTAATGTACATACACTGTCTTTATTAAAACAGAAACAAAAGAGATCCTTGCCATTTCAGAAAACAGGGCCCAGGTCACGGGCGTTTCCACTGGTGCTTCCTGGCTCTCCCAGTTTGTCAGAACTGTCCTTAAATCACAGCCCTGCACGTGGCCCAGGGACATGGGAGCACACAATTCCTATTTGCTGCCTTGAATCATTTTCAGAGGGGATGTTCAGAGTAAGAGAACATTCGCACAGGGAGAAGCCCTGGGTAAATGAAGAATATTTGCTGTTGGTACTTGTCTAGTTGCTGGTCTGCCTCTAATTGTAGTTCGCTGCTTGTCTTTTTCAAAAAGGTATGGTTTCCGGAAGCCACCATACGTAGAGCTGAAAGCTCGGCCAAAACTTGGAGAGAGAGAAGTGACTCTCGTTCATGTGACAGACTGGATAGAGAAGAAACTGGAACAAGAGTTTCAGGTAAATGTGTGGTATCATCTGGTGTGTGTTTCACACGAGTCTCAAAGCTCAGAGCGGAACAGAGGTGCTGAGCTTCATTTGGGTCAGGATCCTCTTTTGAGAACCTAATGAAAGCTGCAGACCCTCATCCCAGGATGATCAAACAGGCATAACATATTAGGTACAATTTCAGAAACCCTGAGCCTCAGCCACAGAACCCTGTAAGCAGTTCAGAGGAAGCCCAAAAGATGGGTTCACTAAGCCAGGGCTCATTCTCCAAGACTGTTTTCTGCTTTCTGCCACCAAAGGAAATAGCAGTGTAGCCGAGGCCCTGGGATGAGCTATTTCTGCCACATGTTTATCAGCTATTTGAGGTCTGTCAAGGTTTTATGGATTAGCAATTTACTTTGAAATGAATCTCGCCTTTTGAAGGAGACCCATATTTTGGCAGTGGTATATTTTGAGCTATTTCCCTTGAAAATTTATGTTTTTATTTAAAAACTTTGGATTGGGGGCACCTGGGTGGCTCACTTGGTTAAGTGTCCAACTTTTTATTTCAGCTCAGGTGAGGATCTCACAATTTATGAGATCAAGCCCCAAGTCGGGCTCTGCGTTGACAGCACAGAGCCTCCTTGGGATTCTCTCCCTCTCTGCCCCTTCCCAGCTCACGTGTTCTCTCTCTCTCTCTCTCTCTCTCTGTGTCTCTCTCTCTCTGTGTCTGTCTCTCTCTCTCTTTCTCTCTCTTTAATAAATAAAAGCTATGGATTAACTTTAACTGAAAACCAGTTTCTGGAAAACTAAGTATTACCACCAAGCAGAAAAGTACTTTCAAACTAATGAAAGACCTTTATTTAGTTTTTTTCCTTTTCCCTAGAACTTACAATAGGAATTAGAGTGGGTCATCTCTTTCAAGGGTATCAGGGTACAAGGGGCAAAAGAAAGGCCAAGGGTCAGAGATTGGCTTCTGGTATTTTTGAGGCAAGTTGGGAAATTGACAGGTGATTGCTACACCCTCCCACAGCCACCATTTTTGGCTTTTGTAAGAGGGCATTACTGAAGACTGCATTCATCGCCAAGACTCACTTGCGTAAAATTAGTTTATAAACAGGATAGGCAAAGTACCATCATTATCAATCACTGATTATCCTTCACATGCTCATTATAGTAGGATTTCTTTTAGAATACAGCTTTGGTTCTGGTGTGAAAAAAAATCAGCTTACATTTTGTTGCCAGGATTTAAGTGGATAAGCTTACTTAGAATAGGTGTTCTGGATATAGTGATTTGGAAATACTATGGGCAACTTAAGGCAGTTCTCTTAAAGCAATGGTGTTAAATATTTATGAACTCGTGAGTAATTTTATTACATGTACAGGAAATCAAAGGCTGCTTCTGCCTCAGACCTATGTTCATGCACTGGTGTGATTCCTCAACTATCTAAATGTGGCGGAGGAATTAGTTTAGAATGTACACAAGAAGTTGGTTCATAGGTACATTCAAAACTTACCTAAAACCTAAAATTATCAGAACAGAATAGGGCAACAGCCTGAGAAAACAGAGCATCTTTCCACATGGCTGTTCTTTAATTTCTTTCTACAGAAGGTTTTTGTCATGCCAAACATGGATGATGTCTATATCCCCATAATGCACTCAGCCATGGACCCTCGCTCTGCTTCCTGCTTCCTCAAAGACCCACTTGTAGAGGCTGCTGACCAGCTGTGATGGGTGAAGATCCGACCTTCCCAGTATTAGATCGGGCTCAAGGTGCGGGGGTCCTGGCTGCCATCACAGCCCCTGCCCTGCCTGCCGGTGCCCCTTCTGTTGTGCAGCATCATTCCACGTATCCTGCCTGCTGCAAAGCTTTGACTCCGCAAAGGGACTATGGAAGAATCATCGAGGTGACAGGTGACTCACACCACAGCCCCAGCGTTTGTGGCAGCGAGAGCGCCGTGAGAGCACAGCTTACAACTGGAGGGCCTTCCCCTTGCCTCGACTCCTACAAAGCTTTTCCTCAGGCAGCCAGCGCACAGTGGAAGGGTTTTGCACTTCTAGTCCGTAGGTGATGCAGCCCTCCGCTCTTCCAGAGGTCCGTTCAGGAACGTGAGGGGGTGGGGAGTGGAACTTTGTGAACCATTTCACTGGTGATAAAGAGATACGCATAGCAGCCTACTGTTCCTATTAAATTGTGTTTGGGAAGCAAGTAGCCATAGAACATACACACACTAACATCCTATCAGCTGGGGTGGGGACTGCGGGATTTCTGCGAGCATCAGGCAAAGCCATGAGATCAAACCGTCCCAAGCCCTCTACCACTGAGGTACAATCACCTGGTTTCTAACTAATCCCAGATGTTTTCCTGAGACATAAGCATATGTGAAAATGTCAAATACTGCACATAAGGAATTGAGGTGGTGGGGGGCAGAAAGCCAGAGCCCCATCTTTCTATCTGGCACTTCCTATGTGCTCCATGCTTTCTTTCTACAGGCCATCTAAATGCTTTGTTAAATCTACCTGGTTTGGGAGGTTTTGAGGTTATGGGCAGTTTCCTCTTCTGATGGCCAAAACGGAGAACTATCACCTTTGAGAGTCAAGACCAAGTTTTGCTCAACATTAAACACTATGTTATCTCAAAACTCACGTGATCTTTCTTTAATGTTGCCAACCTCATTTTGTGCATTTGTGTCAGAATGTTTTGGTTTACAAGTTCGGGGCCTCCCTAGTTGTATAACTTGCTTTGAGAAGTACACTTAAAACACAACTTTTTATTGTTTAAAGTTGCAATCGACATCAGAACTTCCATGGGTAACTTTTGATAACATCTGTGGACAAAGCTAACAGTGGTTTTTTAAACAGCACCTTGCCTGAACATGACTTTCAAGAAATTAATATATTGAAAAAATATATTTGAACCCTTGATTACTTTAATTGCACCATTAAAACACTTGACTTCCATTATTTGATCATTCCAGTCGGTGTACTGTTCTAATTTCTCATTGTGTAGGCCGATTTGCCTGTCAGTCCGCATGTCTTGTTCACTGGTCTATTATAATTTTTGTGCAATAACTAAAGGCAAAGGACTAGATGCACTACTGTGTAGATTACACGAGCACCCTATTGCACTTAATCGAATAGTATGTGGGGATTTACAATCGCTTGCATTGTTTCACAAAATAAATATCTCAATGTCAAATACTAGATAAGCATCTAAGTTATTTCTACTGAATCCTTTTTAGGTAATAGGGAGACAATAAGCAGTGGGTACAGGCCACTTGGTCACTCAGCTCCCAAAGCAGCTTCAATTTCCTGGTGGTCATGAGGCCAACTTTCTAATATTGCAAGGTGGTTCTCTCCACACCGAGGTAGGGGTGATCTTCAACCTGAGAAACTTGAGAGGGGTGTCTGGCTGGCTCGGTGGGTGGAGCTTGTGACTCGATCTCGGTGTTGTGACCTCTAGCCCCACCTTCCGTTAGAGATTACTTACAATCTTTAAAAACACAAAACCAAAAATACCTCCCTCTCCTGAGGACAGTCTCGCTTCCAGGCACCCTCAGCAGCCTGGCAATCCTGTTAACTTGGAGCCCCTGCAACTAAGGCCAAAGCAGTTTATACGCTGCACTTGTGCATCCTTGCCCTTCACCGTGTGCTGCCTTGTACTTCGAACTGTTGCAGTTCACCCAAGCCCAGGGGAGATCGCTAACTGCCTATTTAGACTCGGAAGGAGTGTGCTTTTACTCACGTGTCTGATGTACCCAGCAATGCAGAAGATCGAATTCTCTTAACTACCTTCTTGAAGCTAACTGGGTCACATTAATTTGCCCAAAGCTTTTATTCCCGTGCTTTGGTTTAGTATTTACCGAATAAGCAGTTGGACCTAAATTGTAGTGGTTCTCAAATAGGTCACTACCACACCTTAGCCAGGGGAGTTAAGTTCATGCAGCATCAGGACCGAAACCCGTTTCTGTCAGGTATACCGCCGTCCTTAACCTGATCAAGGTCACTTACTCCCCCTCCCTTCGGGGGCCACCCATGTCGCGGTTATCCGCAGGTCCCGAGATCAGAGAGACCAGGACTTCCACAAAGGCATAGGAATGTACGGAACACGGAGTAGCAGGGCCCAAGGGACCCCCGACTCTTTCCAGGGCCCTTTCCCCAACTCCCCGCCCTCACCGCCACGCAGCCGGGTGCAGCCTTGTCGCTCGCGGTTAAAAGGGCGGCCGGCGGAGGACCGGGCCGCCCCAGTTATGCGCGAGCGCGTGCTCTGGCGCTGCAGCCTGACCCCCGGCGCCACGCGCAGGCGCGGCGGGGGCTCAAAGGCAGCGCGTGGCGACAAGAAACACCAAGACCAGTGCTGGGATCAAACCATTTTATTCAAAGGCTTCGGAGAAGGCCGAAAGGGAAAAGGTGATCCTACGTCCTCGGCCCAGCAGGAATCTGCAAGAACGAGAGCAGTGGGTTAGCGGGTGTGCGCCCGCAAGGCCTTTCCCTCCCCGCCGCTGCCGCCACGGAGGCCCGGCTCAGACTGTAGTTCGCATCACCCGCGTCAGCAGTCTAACACGTGCTTTTCTGGAATGTCATCACTGCAGGCCTCCCGCGACCCACCCGGCTCCGTGGCCCAGAGACCCGGGCATACGCACCAGGGCACACAGCAAACTGAACCTCACCTTCCAACCTTACAGTCGCCGAAAGACTGAGCGAGGCCCCGCGACGTCTACTTAAAGGAGCTGACAGGAGGCGGTTGGGCGGGGTTTACCGGTATTAACCAATAGCAAGTCCGACTTCCGGTCACGTGCCTATAAAAGCGACTAATGAGGGTCCGTGCTCGCTGAGTCATCCAAAATGTAGAGTGGTCACTTGCTAACCATAGAGAGTCGAAGAAAGATAGAGAGTCCCACAGTGTCCCTAAATTCTGGCTTTTTTTCCGAGTCTGTCCACAGTACGCTAAAGGAACGTTTGTTTACAAACAGAATCCTACTAATGTGTCACTTGTTTAAGACGTTCTGTGCCAGGAGCTAGGCTAGGAGCTGAGCATATGAAGGCGACAATCTAACCTTGTTCCTGAGTTCAAAGTAACCTATTTGGGTTTAAAAAAACAAACAAACCTGTGTTTAAAAGTAGAGGATGTGCAACCAAATCCTGAATTTCTGATGAATTTGTTGGATGACCCTCAATTTCAGGAAAATAGGAATATTCAAAAAAGCTGTTGTGAGGATTAAATGGATTAATGTCAGTTGCCTGGCACGTGCCCAGTGGAAACAAATAATTGTTTTTAAAGAACTGGTGTGATGTGGAAAATTTATGTAAGTGCGGTGCTTTAATAAATGCTAAAATATGGGGCATCTGGGAGGCTTAGTCGGTTAAGCCTGGACTTCAGCTGGTGTCATGATCTCCCAATTTGTGGATTCAAGCCCCCCATCCAGTTTTGTGCTGACAGCTCAGAGCCTGGAGCCTGCTTGGGATTTTGTGTCTCCCTCTCTCTCTGTACCCTTCACCTTCTCATGCTCTGTTTCTCTCTGTCTCTCAAAAATAAACATTAAAACAATTTTTAAAAGAATTTTTAAAACTAAATAACAAATGGTATAATAGAGCTGTAAACAGCCTACTGTGGAAACTCAAAAGAGAATGTCTAACTTTGGGGAAATTAAAAGTGCCTGTATGTATTGAACTCATATTGTAAAGCAGGCACACTATTGACCCTTGAACAAGGAAATGGGTGGAGGTGATGTTAGGGGCATCCACGACACCCCAGTGGAAAATTCCTGACTAAATTATGAGTCCCTCAAAGCTTAACAACTAATAGCCTACTGTTGACCAGAAGGCTTATGGATAATATAAGCAGTCAACACATATTTACACATATAATACACATATTATATATTATATACTATATTCTTACAACACAGTAAACTAGAGGAAAGAAAATATTAAGAAAATCATAAGGGGGGCGGGGGGTGCCTGGCTCAGTCAGTAAAGCATGTGACTCTTAATCTCAGGTTCAAGCTCCACCCTGGTGGTCGAGCCTACTTTAAAAAAATCATAAAGGAAGAGAAAATACATTGACAGTGCTGTATTGTATTTATTGAAAAAAAAATCCACATATAAGTGTGCCCACACAGTTCAAACCCATGTTGTTCAAGGGTCCACTGTATCGGAGAATAAGAATATGGCCTTGCCCCCTAAGAGTTTGATTTATCAGTTTAGAGAACAATAACCAGACACGTCACAATATTTGGTTATCTTTATTTCCTTCATGTTCCCTTTGGGAATTGTTTTCCTTCTTTCCTCCTAACTTAATAAGGAAAATGTAATAAGAAAAGTATTTCAACCTTACTTGGTAGTTGGATAGTGCTCTTATTTTCATTATTTTCTACCTAGACTTTAGTTAAACTGAAAAATTCCTCTTTGACCAAAGTAATAATTACTTTGGCAAGTGTTTTGTAACCTCTATGTGGTTATTATTATTCCTGTTTAAACTTTTGTTATTTTCAGCAGTTATTACAATTGTGGTACAGTTTCTATTGGAAAATGAGTCAAAGTTTTCTTCGTGGCCTAGAATGTGATCTGTTTTTACATTGTTCCACAGATTCTTGAAAAGCAGACGTTTTCACCAGCATGTAGACACCAACATGAAATATTATTAATGCAACATTAACTGTGCTGTAATTATACTGTCCAAATATCTATTTTATACTTGATTGGGAGTATAGGTACTGTCATTGACTGATGGTGATATGTTACGATCATGCTTCAAGTACCAAATGCTGAGGAAGATGCAAAGCAACAGGAACTTTGCTCTGTTACTACTTGGGAATGTATAATAGTACTCCCATTTGGGAAAAGAATTTGACAGTTTCTTATAACGTTAATTTCACCAAGAGAAAGGAAAGTTTATGTTCACACAAAATCCTGTGCACAAATGCTTATAACAATGTTATTCATAACTCTTCCAAAATGGAACCATCCAAGAGCCCTTCAATGGGTGAATCTTAAGCAACTGTGGTACATCCGTACAGCTGAATGCTACCCAGCAATAAAACAGGATGGACTATTGATACGTGCAACACTTGGAAGAATCTCAGAGGTATTATGCTGAGTGAAAGGAGCCAGACTCAAAAGATGCTATGATCCCATTTATTTGATATTCTAGAAAAGAGAAAACTATAGGAACCAAAAACAGATAAAAGATCTTCCACGAATTGGAAGTGTGGGAGCATTTGACTATGAAGCTGCTGCATGAGTGCTTTTTGAGGGTGATAGAATTGCTCTGTTTTTTGGTTTTGTTTTATTTTTACAAATAAGCACATTTGTGTGTCCTCTCACACAATCAAGATGCAGAACATTCTCATCACTCCAAAATGCTTCTCTCCTGCCTCTTTGTAGTCAGTACCCACACGCTTCAATCACCAACTCAGGCAGCCAGTGATCCATGTCTGTTATTTTATTTTATTTTTTTTTACAAATAGTTTATTGTCAAGTTGGTTTCCACATAACACCCAGTGCTCATCCCCACAAGTGCCCTCCTCCATGCCCATCTCCCCCCTCTCCCCCACACCCATCAGTCTTCAGTTTGTTCTCAGCATTCAAGAGTCTCTCATGGTTTGCCTCTCTCCCTCTCCCCCACTATTTCCCCCCTTCTGCTCCTCCTTGTTCCTCAGTTAAGTTCCTCCTAATCCTCCTGTACGTGCAAACATATGATATTTGTCCTTCTCTGCCTGACTTATTTCGCTCAGCATAACACCCTCAAGGTCCATCCATGCTGCTACACATGGCCAGATTTCATTGTTTCTCATTGCCACGTAGTATTCCATGGTATAGATAAACCACATCTTCTTGATCCATTCGTCCGTTGATGGACACTTAGGCTCTTTCCATGTTTTAGCTATTGTGGAGAGTGCTGCTATGAACATTGGGGTACATGTGCTCCTATGCATCAGCACTCCTGTATCCCTTGGGTAAATTCCTAGCAGTGCTATTGCTGGGTCATAGGGGAGTTCTGTTGCTAACTTTTTGAGGAGATCCATGTCTGTTATTACAGAAGAGTTTTGCCTGGTTTTGGTGTTCTGGTCAATGGATTCCGTTTGTGATCTTTTGCATCTGGCTTCTGTCACTTAACCTGATGTTTTTGAGGTTCATACTTAAATACTGATACTGATACTGTATCGGTAATCCATTCCTTTTTGTTGCTCAGTAGGATTTCATTGGATGAATATGCCAGTTTTTGTTTGTTTGTTTTTTTTACCATTCACATGTTTACGGGATTTGGGTTGTTTCCAGTTTGGGGCTATTATAAATGAAGCTGTTATGAACACAAATGTAGAAGTCTTTTTATGGACATTCGGTTGCATTTCTTTTAGGAGTGGACTTTTAGAATTACTAGAATCATCTGATAAGCATATATCTTTAACCTTATAAGAAACCACTGGAGGCGCTTGGGTGGCTCAGTCAGTTAAGCATCCGACTCTTGATTTCGGCTCAGGTCACCATCTTGCAGTTCCTGGGGTCAGGCCCTGTGTCCAGCTCTGTGCTAACAGCACGGAGCCCGCTTGGGATTCTCTCTCTCCTTCTTGTGCTACCCCTTCCCCAAGTGCACATGCGTGCTTGCTCTCAAAATAAATAAACATTTAAAAAGAAATTGCCTGGGGCGCCTGGGTGGCTTAGTCAGGTAAGCGTCCGACTTTGACTTTCGCTTAGGTCATGATCTCGCGGTTCGTGGGTTCGAGCCCCGCGTCGGGCTCTGTGCTGACTGCCAGCTCAGAGCCTGGAGCCTGTTTCAGAGTCTGTGTCTCCCTCTCTCTCTGACCCTCCCCTGCTCACGCTGTCTCTCTCTCTCTCTCCTAGAAATAAATAAAAATTAAAAAAAAATTTTAAAAAGAAACTGCCAATCTATTTTCCAAGTGGTTGTACCATTTTACACCACCAGCAATGTATGAGAGTTCTAGTTATTTCAAATCCTAGTCAGCACTTGATATTGAGACTCTAATGTTAGCCATTTTGGTAGATATGTGGTGATAGCTCATCGTGGTTTTAATTTACATTTTTCTGATGATCAAAGATGTTGACAATCTTTTCATATCACCATTACTGTATCTTTTTGTGAAGTGTTCAGATCTTTTGCCCACTTTTAAAAGCGTTTTCTTATTAATGAGTTATATGAATTCTTTCGATCCTTTTTCACACATGTGTATTGTGAATATTTGCCTTTTTATTTTCCCAAAGGTGTCTTTCAAAGAGGAGGCATTTTAAATTTTGATGAAATCCAGTTTATCACTGATGGGTTTTAAGCAAGAGAATGGCAGTCTGGTGGAGTTCAAACTCCTTGTGACATTCCACAGTTCAGATTTATCTCCCCCTAAGAATAACATGAGCTACTAATAATGGCATGCCTACCACAGGCAAGGCACTTGACATATTTTAGTTCCAATTCTCAGGACAGTCCTGAAAGGTAGGGAATGCTGTTTCCGGTTTTTAGCTCTAATTCCCAGAACAATCAGAACCAGGGCTCAGAGCGATTGAGTAATTTGTTTACATTTGCACAATTAATAGATGGCTAAGCAGAGCTGGGATTTGAACTCATAACAATATGATTTCAAAGCTTATACTTTTTTTTTCTGAGAGAGAGAGAGAGGTAGTGTGAGCAGGGGAGGGCTAGAGAGAGAGGGAGATACAGAATCTGAAATAGGCTCCAGGCTCTGAGCTGGCTGTCAGCACAGAGCCCAACACGGGGCTCGAACTCATGAAC